CGCACACCGTTGCCTGAGCCAGCCAATGCTTGGGCGGCTGGCGCAAGCGGAGCAACACCAACAGCAACACACACAGCAAGGCAGGCATATTACACAAGGTTGTGGGCACAGTTGTCGATGTTGCGGTCCCTACGTGTGCTGGTGTGTGTTGTGGGAGTGTCAACGGCAGCTGCTGCTGCCGCTGCCGCTGCCGCCGCCGACGCCTGCGAAGCGCGAGCCGTGAAATAATGCTCATCCTCAAACTCACCACAGCTCCTCAGCTGTGCGCTCAGACTCTCCAAGTAGCCACCCCAAAAATAAAAATATAAAAAACACTCAAAATACAATTTTTCAATGGAACGGTGGTCGGCCAGTGGAAGTGTGGTAATGCGCTCACTCGCATAGCGAAGGGCACTCACTCACTTACTCACTCACTCACTCACTCACTTACGTACTTACTTGCTCGCTCGCTCAGTCACGCACGGGAGAGCTCATTCATGAAGAGCGCACACATTCAAAGTCTGCCTCAATGTGTATATGTATGTGTATATTTTTTTTGTTTTGCTGTTTGTTTTCTTTTTTTCATTCGCAATACGGTGGTTGATCCTGGCAGCGCCAGCGACGGCAGCGGCAGTGACGCTAACGCCAACGCTGACTGCAACAGTGGCAGCGCGCGCCAACCAAAACAACAAACCACAATTCACTTACAAGCGACGTTCGCGGTCGCTGCCAAAGCGTCGGCCGCAGTCGTCGCTGACGTCGCAGCATTTTTAAAAATGGCTCTCAATTGCGCGCTCCATCTTGGTGTTGTTGTTGGCGCTGTAACTTTTTCACTGCGTCGCTGGAAATTTGCTCGACCTTCTCGCAACGAGCTTTTAGTGTTGCCTAGTTAGTGGCGGCGTGTGCAGTTAGCGGGGCGCACGGAATTCAGCTGCAGCTGCCGAAAACGCCGATCGCCCATGGGGCGGAGTCAGTAGCCATTTAACGGCTTGCGCCTCTCGCTCGCGCTCATCGATCACTGGAACGGGGCGCTGCCTTCCACTAAACGCTTGGCCGCCTCTCACTCAATGGACGGCGTGAGTCTATTTATAAACAACCCCTCAGCAGGCCCGCTGATCGTGCCACTGCGATCGCGTGTGTTCAGTGGTTGTGGCTCAAGGGGCGAGCGCTGATGCTTGCCACTGGTTGGCTGGCCTCAAATGCGGTGGCGCCCCCTACCCCAATTTCTATTCGATACTCTCTCTCTCTCTCTCTCTCTCTCTGTGTGTGTGTCTGCGCGTGTGCGTGTGCGCGTGAGGGTTGGGTCAGATCAGCTGCTGCTCAGTTTCGTTACAGTTGCCTGCACTGTGTCCACGGGCCTCCACTCGGCTGGTTGCTTGCTGCGCTGCCGCCGATCATGAATACGGTTAATTTTTGTTTAGTGGCAACGGGATTAAAAGCCCTGTGGTGTGCGGGTGAAAGCTTTAATGTGTTCATTTAGCTGGAAAGACAATGGAAACTGATCTATTCCTAAACAGTTCACTAAGTTGGAAACGTGTGGAAATGCATTTAAAGGCGAGAGCTTTATGTTGCTGGAAGGATAATGCAGACCGATCTATTCATTAATAGATCATTTAGCTGGAAAAGTGTGGATTTAGCTGCAACCAAATGCATTGGAATGCATTTAATGGCGAGAGCCTCTGGAAGACTAATGACATTTGCTTTGTTGGAAGGAAAATAGAAACTGATCCATTCGTACAATTCTCTGAAAGGAGTGTTCGATCGAACATTCTGAACATTTATTGACAAGAAAATCCTCCATGAAAATAAATATCAAATTCTTTATACACCACAACTTAAAATTGGCGCAATATTTTTTTTTAAATTCATTGATCAGCTGATTCGCAAACCAAATTGTTTATGTAGGCGAGTGTAAACGGCGTTAACTGCAGGACTCGATTACTCGGTACTGGCTGAAGCCGATCTGGGAAGGCGTTGCTGCCCGGGCCGGGCAACTCGCGGATCTGATGGTCTCTTGTGGGGCGGCTAATCGCCCAAAATATTTGTTGGGCGTGCTGGTTAATCCGGGCGATTGACTTTCATAAGTAAAGGATTAGGCTAAGGGAATGCGGCGCTCTCGATCTGCGATCTGCGATCTGCGACCTGTGACCTGCATGCGGTTTGCTACCTGTCTTAATTAGCATGCGACAACGCATAGCAGTGGGTGGCTACCTGGGCGCAAGCTGATTTTTACCAGGGGGTTGGCTGTGAAAAAACGATCATAAAAAAAGGGTGGCCCAGCCGGCAGCTGTGTGGCCAGAACGTCAGCCTGGCCACAGGTAACGCGGAGAGATTACACTTTTTCGCTGTCGATTTGTCCAACTGATCCTTTAGAGAGCCGCTTGCGTCCTGCCGCGCGTGCGCATTGCGCGCGTGCAACGTGCAGCTTCTGTGCGATCTTGGAGATCAGCGGGTGCTGAATGAGCCGCGCAAATTGCCAGGGAAAGCGACAGGACGGAACGTTGACGGAATGCACACACCCACGCACACACGCTAGTTCCGTGGAAGACCCCGCAAATGGCATCGAAAACAATCAAAATCAAAGCCTTGCCTTGCCCGACCGGTTGGTCGGATGCGTCCTTGTCGCACGCTACTTGCTTAACTGTGGCACCTACGCTGGCTGCCAACGCGCGTCCTTGCCAAGATGCCTCGTTGCCTTCCAGCGCTTGATTGTCCTGCTTGTTGTTGTTGTTCTTGTCACAGCAAGCGGGCGCACACGCATACGCAGCAGTCGCAGCAGCATTCGCGCTGCTCCGCGCCGCACCGCGCCGCGCCGTGCGTCGACAGCGACGTTAACGTCTCAGTTGATTGGAAGTGTGCGTGTACTTTCCCGACGCTTCTCACCCTCACTCTCACCCGCGGCGAGGCGCGTTCTCGCGACATTTTGGTTGGCTCGAGCGACATCACGACTCTGTCATGGCTCGCACTTAAGTTCTGGCCGGCTCCCCTCCTGTGGCTCCTTTGCCCTTGCCAGAGGCTCGCCAGCTGCCCCTCATTGTGGTTGCCCAGCCATCCATTCGCTGCGTTCAGCTGCTTGGCTTGCCCGCCCGCGCCCTTCCAGCGCCCACCTGTTCCTAGCCAGCAGATTCTCTCCGTTCCAATCTGTCGTCCGTCTCCCTTGTCGTCTGTTTGTGTGCAGCATTTGTGGCCTCGTTTTAACTTGCTTGGTGCTCCGCAATTTTTTGGGTTGCCGCGAGTTTGATTTGTTGTCCTGGCACCTGGCAGAGGCGCCCGCATTCGCTTATCTCAGGGGGATTTGATTTGAACACGAGGTTTTAACTCTTTCTGGTTGTTTTGTTATCCTTAGTTCTTTCTTCTGGATCTATATGTATATCTATACATATATACTTGGCATAATTTTGATTTTTCGCATTTTCTTCTTGTAAGATCTTTACTTAATTCCAAGCAACTTATATATTCTATTTGATTGTTCCAAATTTTCAATTAATGAGCATAATAAAACTATTTTATAGCTTAGAAAATGATCAAATTTTGTGTTCACTCAGGATATTCCTTCCTGCGCTTCGCCTGACAAGGATCAGGCTAAGGCTAAGCTCGCGCCTTAAATAAATCACTTCCGAAGTGTCAAGGATTAGAGGACGAATCAGTTAAGTTTGGCGGGATCAGCAGCACACGCTAATCTGGCTGGATGATCCCTGAGATTTAAGGCGTGGGAACCGCAGATCCAACAGCTTCCATATTATCTTTGATAGCCGCCTGTCGAGATCAGCTCCATTCGGTGCAACCCCATTGGACGCCACTGTGGGCAACTTACAGCTATATATATACCGTTACTCGCTACCTGTGGCTCTAGCACACGGTGCGTAGCTTGGCCAGGTCCCGGCCCAGGACCTGGACGGGGACCGGGACGACATCCATGGGGTGCCTACACGCGCGCAGTTGGAACTGTTGCATGCCGATGTTAAAGTTGCGTGCGTAAAGAAACAAATTTTCCAGCCAGCGACCGCCCGTCGGGGCCGGGGACAGAGCGGAGCAGAGCGCAAGGCGAATGTGCGACTGAGCTGGCGACACACTCAGAATGTTAGAGACAGAGAGAGAGAGAGAGAGAGAGAGAGAGAAAGAGAGAGAGAGAGAGAGGGCAAGCGAGAGCGTGACAGAGAAAGAGCGCAAGAATAAGAGCAAGATGAGTTATTCCTTTGCGTTTTTTAGCTCTTCTTTTTTTTTTCTCGTTTTGTTGCTGTTTTCCGCACGAGTTTTCATAAAACCCCACTGAGTGTTTTTTTTTGTCAGCGGTTTTTTTTTTTTTTTACTGTTCGTCATTTTTTTCTGCGCCCGCCTGCGCCTTTCCAATATGCTCAGAGAGCCGCCCCGCTCTCGCGATGCGCTCTCATGGCACATTTTTATTTCGCTTCCAACGATTTTTTGCCCTCTTCGCCTTTGGTCTTTATAACTTTTTTTTTTTTTTCGTTTGTCGGTTTGACCGCGCGTCCCTGGCCACAAGTAGCATGGCAACAACAACAACAACAGCAGCAGCAGCAGCAACAACGCACGCCTCTTCCTCAGTCGCTGCGCTGCCGCTGCCTCAGTTGTCGACTTCCCTTATTTCTTGTTGCTGTTGTTGTTGTTGTTGCTGGCCGTGTTTTCTGTGTGCGCGAGTGTATACCGCAATGGAAAAATGGGAAATTTTTACTGTGGTTGTTGTTGTGGCAATGGTGGTTGATACCTGCCCCGGTCACCACCGCCACCGCCGCCGGCAGCCGTTGCACCCTTAGCCCATACACGCACACACACCGAGACAGACACACAGACACATGCACAATAGGTAAGCGAACGAGCCAACCAAACCACGCAGCGACGTCCTGAATTATTGCAGCCAGTGCGAGCGAGCGCGCAATATCGACCCTGAGCAGCGCGAGCGAGTCCGAGAGCGAGCGCGCCAGTGCCGTCTTGCAGCGGCGCAGCAGCGACGTCGGCTGCGACAGCGACGGCAACGCATTCTACTTTAAATACTGGCAACGATCGCAGTTGAGAAACAGTTCACACAGCGACTTTAACGTGTCGAGAACGCAGCCAGAAAAGAAGCGAGCGAGAGCAGAGCACAATTTCGCCGCGTTTTCAAAAGTGAAGCGAAACGAGCAACTGTAACTGTAAACTCGCAAGCAACAGCGAAATTAAAAAAAAAAAAACACTAAAATATAAATAAACTCAACAAAATTTATTCAAAACGAAAAGACTTGCAACAAGAATTTTTTTTGCGTGTATCTTGAGTGCAAAAGAAAGAAAAGCGTGAAAAGCAGCGGCACTGCCAGCTAGCTAGCGTTTACCACAAATCGAACGTTGTTTTTTTTTTTTTTTTGCTTTGGTGAAGTGCAACAAGGATTACAAAACCCAACTCGGATTACAAACAGCAGCAACGGCGACAATTTTTTTTTGAGCACGTAAAATATAAACACACCCACACACACACACACACACACACACACATTTGGAAAATGCATTTGCCCGCTGGACCCACACTGGTGGCCAATACGGCCGCCCACACGCAAGTCCTGGCCGCAGCGGCAGCAGCGGCGGCAGCGGCGGCGGCTGCCACGAATGTTAGCCAAGGCAACATAAGCACACACTCGGCCAGCAGCACGGGCAGCTCCACGCCGGACAACAACAGCAGCAGCAACAACAACAATAACAGCAGCAACAGCAGCAGCAGCAACAACAACAACAACAACTCCAATTCAAACGCGGCGAATTTGGCAAAAATGCCAAGCTCCATGACAGACATGTTCGCCAGCCTGCACGAGATGCTGCAGGAATATCACGGCGAATTGGCGCAAACCGGCTCGCCGTCGATCCTGTGCAGCGCGCTGCCCAATCACTGGCGCTCCAACAAATCGCTGCCGGGCGCCTTCAAGGTGATCGCCCTGGACGATGTGCCCGATGGCACCCTCGTCTCGATCAAGTGCGGCAACGATGAGAACTATTGCGGCGAGCTGCGCAACTGCACCACCACGATGAAGAATCAGGTGGCCAAGTTCAATGATCTGCGCTTCGTGGGCCGCTCCGGTCGCGGCAAGTCCTTTACGCTGACCATCACCATTGCCACCTATCCGGTCCAGATAGCCAGCTACAGCAAGGCCATCAAAGTAACGGTCGACGGGCCGCGGGAGCCAAGAAGTAAGCAAAGTGAGTTTTTTAGTTTCCATTACGCTTTTCTGTTCGAATCTCCCGCAACCCCCCAACCCATCCGTTCGATCCTGCCCGGCATAACAATATCCCAGTTCAGCCAAGTTTTTGATGCATTTTTGCATTTATTCATTTACATTTTATTAATTTGACTAATTTTTTGCGCTTTGCTTTTGCTTGCTGTTTGCTTTTTAGGCTATGGCTATCCACATCCCGGCGCCTTCAATCCGTTCATGCTGAATCCGGCGTGGCTGGACGCCGCCTATATGACCTACGGCTATGCGGACTATTTCCGCCATCAGCAGGCGGCCGCCGCTGCAGTGCATCATCCGGCGCTATCCAAGGCAGCCACCTCGCCCAATGGCAGCGCCAGCGGCGTCGTCTCGCCCGGAACTGCGGCTGCTGGAGCCGCTGTGCCCGCCGCCGCTGCCGCCGATTATCCGCCGCCGCCTTCGTCTGTGGGCGTGGGTGTGGGCGCCGTGGCGCCCGGTTCCATGATGCCCTCGCCGCCGGGCGGCCCGCCAGCGTCGGCTTATGCCATGCCGCAGTTCCCGTTCAACCATGTGGCCGCCGCTGCTGCGGCAGCCGCACATCAGAATCAAAAATCCACGCCGCACGCATTTCATCCGTATAATTTTGCGGCCGCGGCGGGCTTGCGGGCGCGCAATGCGGCCGCCGCTGCACTGCATCATGGCGGCCTGAGCGCCGCGGAAGCGGCGCACATGAGTCCCGCCTCGTCACGTCCATCGAGCTCCTCGCCAACGCCAACGCCCACGTCCATGCCCCATGTGCTGCTCAAGCTGAACACCTCGATCGAGACGAGCTCCATACACGAACAATCCGCCTCGGATGCGGACTCCGACGACGAGCAGATCGATGTGGTCAAATCCGAATACGAGCTGGACAAGTCCATCGATTCCACGCGCAGCTCACCCACCCAGCAGATCTCTGTGCCGCTCCGTATGCGCTGCGATCTCAAAGCTCCCTCCGCCCTGAAGCCGCTCTACCACGAGACGGCGTCCGCGGCGGCGGCAGTGGCTGCGCCTCGCCAGGCTTCGCCGGAGACAACGCTGCCGGCGGCAACAAAGCTGAAGAATGCCGTCGTGCAGCAGAAGACTGTCTGGCGGCCTTACTGAGCAGCACACGCACACACACGCGCACTGAGCACACACACACACACACACACACACACACACAGAGTGATATGGAGCAGCAAGCAGGCAGAAAGCAGGCGCAGAGCGGCAGCAACATTGTGATATAGTCATATAAGTTAGACACGTCCACAGCAGAGCACAGCACAAAAAAGAAGAAGAACACACACGACTCCGGCCGGCAAACGGAGCGGAGCAGGAATAAGAGGAGGAGGAGACGGAGGCGGGGGCGGGACAGAAGGCGCAGGAGGACTGCCAGGAGCTGGGCTAAAGGATATACGCATGCTTGGTTTTGGGGCAAGGCAAGGGCCGTGCGGCGAGCTCACTCGAAGTTTTATGCTCGATTCATAAAATCGTGCGTTGAGTTCGTTACGCACACACACACACACGCACACACACACACAGACACACACACTCCAATCCCCCTGGAAGAAAAGTATATGCCAAAAAGCCCTCCTGGATTTTCGCTCGATCGCCACGCGGCGAACGTCAAGGAAACTATTTAGACCTAAACGCCTCGCCCCCCCACACGCCCATCCCTCCCTCAACCAAAACACAAAACCAAAAAAAACTTTAGTTCAATTTTATGATTTCCCTCTTTTTTTTTAACAAACACACACACACACATATATTTATATATATACATTTTTTTTTTTAATTTTTATTTCTCTTCAAACAAAACTTTGTCTTCGTAGGGTAAACGCAAAAGAAGTTCCCATAAAATCTCGTAGTTTACTAAATCAAACAATTTTCATTTTTCTTGTAAATAGCGTGAGTTAAATATCACACACACACACACACACACACATATATATATATACTATATATATCGAGATTTTTTTTTTTTTTTTTTAACATTCGAATTTAGCTATTGATAATGTTTAAGTTTTTAGCCATGTAAGAAAAGAGCAAAACAATTTTTTTTGTATAGCTTTAAGTTTTAGCGCGAAAAAATGAAAACAAACGAATTTCAGAAACCAAATAAAAAGAAAAAACAAATGAACAAAACAAATAACGAACTTAACTTGTGTTGTCTTTTCAAATATAACTATCGACAATTACCAGACTGATATTCCGATATCGGGGCAAATTCCCCAAGTTTCTAGTGTCGAACAGCCTAGATAATCGCTCCTATTGAGCTCCATTTAACTCTCAAGCACCCGAGTGTTTTTGTGGTCTGGTTTAAGGCACCGCAATATAATTAGACAAATATTGCCCAATCGGTAGCTGCCCCCAACAGCCCGCGATTAGATAGTTAGTATTTAACATTAACGCAGTAAGCCCCAACGGCATTTGAATTAACTTTCGCGATTCGACAATAGACACGAATCTATCTCTCTCAATCACAGTCAGGGCAGCTGGGAATTCGAATAGCTTGTGCTCTATAGACTATATATTTATAGATTTAGTGCTTAACACTTAATTGAATATCTTAGATCGTAGAGACATTAGAAACTTTAACTCGTTCCACTGCGTTTCCTTGCATGCCCTGTTCACAGCGTAAATGCGGACATATGGCTTCATTACAGATATTCGTGTGTATTCAAGACAAACAAAGTCTATACGAAATTGGTCTACAGCTGAAATACTCAAGTTTATGTAGGCATGCCAACGAAGTTTGCTTTGCAGCCTTGACTTTTGCCTAGGTCACAGTTTGACAGTCACAAGTTCTAGTTGTAAAGGCACCAATCGAATCGTTGATAAGAAGCTTGCATCTTATTGCTGATTACACTGTGTGCAGGGTATCGCGCAGTCGCCTATATTGTGTCCATATCTCATTAGCTACGGCTCAATCTGTTATTTGCCAAGGTCACAGTTTGACAGTCACAAGTCGGGTTTTAGTTTCAAACGCACAATCCTAGCGAATTGTGTCCACATTTCTTAAGCCATTTACAAGTGCTGCCACTCTTCTTCTTCTCACGCATGCTGGCAACCTTTTCAGGTTCGGCGAAGGACATTGGGCAACCGCAGTGCGTACAATGCGAATCGATAATGGCTATTAAAACGCATAATTAGAGATTATGAGGCCAGGACCTGGACTTGGTTCTGGTTCTGGTTCCCGTGCAGCAATGCCTGAGAGCCCAAGTACTGGTGGTCCTGTTCATGCCGTTGGTCCTGTTGGTCCTGTTGGTCGCCCGGTGTCGGTTCGGCATGTGTCCATTAAATGCATTTGTAGCATTAATTAGCATAACAACCTCAATTTTGGCACTGCGGCGTGGTTCAAGGACAACACAGCTGTGCACTCGGTCCAGACGCGGCCATTAACCGCACCGAGAGTGTCAAAAAAAGGATCTTTAAAGAACTAAGAGATATTTCAGCTGGGCACATATTTCAATTAGCCATAGTTATTGCCCGTTGACAGGCACATAACCTTGCGTAAAATTGGTAATGCGACAGTTTATCGCAATTTATTTTCTTTTACTCTGTTCCCAGGTGTTAAACGGGTATGTTGGGTCCGTCTGTCCAAGTGCCTGAGCTTAATTAGCTTATTACTAGATATATTTTAGTCTATGCATTTGCAGGGTATAAATATGACTTTGGAATTTAAAGATGACTTGTTTCTGGCTTTGGGGGGCCTTGAGATGCCAGACTTATATATACATATTTATAGTTAATTTCCATAGCTAAGCTATACGAAATTCTAGGGTATAAATATCCCATTCTGATATGTGCATTAGCCAAAAATCGATCAAGGTTCTGCCTCAACAATATTATATATGAAATTATCGTTCACGCCAAATAATGAATATCTCTTAAAGAAGTAACCAAAATATGTGGAAATTAATTAACATATAAGTAGACTATATCGATTCCCTTTTATATGCACATATCATGGATTGCCCGTTCCGTCCTCGCCAGCAGCCGAGTTCGCCTCTGATCTCTGATCTGAACGGGAGTCCATTTCGAAACGAAATTTGAAAATGTGTCTACCGCGCATATTTCGCATTTAATCAATGCAAAATTTGCATTTTTACAATGCTTTTTAAACTTTTCTGCATGGTTTTTTCCAGCTGTCCAACTAACAAGGTTTTCGGCTCTGGATCGGGCAGGGTTTGGGGCTCCGATTCGGTTTTCGATACATAGCCTCCGCTTGTTCTCTATTTTTGTATTCTGTTTTTTTGTTTTTTTTTTTTTATTTCGCGTCAATTTGGTTGTGCGTTACAATTTTGTTGTTGTGTTGCATAGGGTATTATAATTTAGTCAAGCTGTTTGCAAACCATGAAATGAGGCATATCCGACTTTAATAAGATTATATATTCTTGACCAGCATTAACAGCCGAGTCGAAGTCTGTTTGATTCTACGCAGACATTGTCATGATGCTTTGCAAATGTGCGTCCTTCTTCAGTACATATATCAGGATCGACAGGATCGCACCACTATGAAAGATTGTTCTAACAATTAAATTCCAGTGTGAAAAAGACTTAGTATTTCGAGATATGTTGACTCATTTTAACCTAAGCTTGGCATTCACGAGTTCCAGCAAGCTCCTTACAGCTAAGTAAAGTCCTAAAGGCATCGAACTACTTAATCATATCATTTTATATGAAGAATCGCAGAACAATGAATTTTTGTTTAAGCAGGAAAATATGTTTAAGTGTATGGCGCAGTTCGGTGTGGCGCAGATGGCTGTTCTTTTTCTTGTTTATCTTTCTTTTGTTGTAAAATGCGCCGCGTGGAAAACTATTTGACTATTTAGCATTGGTTGTCGCTGTTGCTGCTGATGTTGTTGTTCATGTTCTTGTTGTTGTTGTTGATCTTGTTGTTGTTGTTGTTGTTCGGTCGCCGCCGCAACTGAGGTTGACTGTGTGATTGTTGGCGGTGGTAAGCGAAAAACTGCGAAAGTCAAAAAAGCCTACGCGCCCGACCAACCTCCACACAACCATACACACACGCACACACACGCACACATTGAGCGGGAGATGCATGTGGAGATACATTAACAGATACAAATATTTTCGTATTGAGATACACAAAACCGCGCGACGCAACGCGACGTGCAACAACAAAACGAACGAAACGAAAAATAAAGAAAATCAACTGAATGTATATAAAAATGGCCAAGCATTGCAATGGAAAATGGTTGGCCAGAAATTACAAAGAGCGCATCAGTGGAAATTGGCGAAAGTATGGTCGGAGGTGAAATGCGCGAACGAGGCAGAAGACCCCTCCCCCAACCCTCTCCTCCACTCACTCCACTTGCAGCCCCCTACGACAACACATCAGCTATACAAATTACAAACGAAATGAGAGAGTTTTCGGGCGCCGGGCATTGGAAAATGAATTGCAAGCGCACTCTAGCAAGAGGCTCCATTAGCTATTAGGTAAGCTTTAACCATTGCGTTTGCTTAAGTCAATGTTTGGGCTTTTGGCTGGACTCGAAATGCGCGCCGGACTTGGCTTAAGAATTCGAGATCTTTAGCCTTATATTTATGTATCTTTATTTCATACATAAAGATTTTTTAGGTTCACTAGACTAAAATTTATATATAATAGAGAGTGTCATTTCTTAGAGATGCCACGATTTAACAGTCACAAATTTGTCACATCTCGCAACTTTATGAAGGAACATATAATCGAATATCAGCTACACAGAAACTCTCATGATCGAAATGAAATACTTTATATTTCCTTAATGCTTAAGGTTGTTTTAGTGACATCTCAAATAATTGTTTGCAGTATACCTCTCAGGTTCAAAGGCTTTCCAAACCCATTCATAGCAGGCTTTATAGCGCATATCTGTCAGCTGAAGCTGTTCATATACTATTATTAAAAATAAGTATGTACAATTGATGAGTAGAGTATCAAGTATTCGGCTTGTTGCACCACTACTGGGCATTTGCAATTTTGTTTAATTTTTTGCATTTTTGGTTTGAATTTTTCCTTATTTAGCGCTAATGAAATGCGACTGGCGACGCTGATTGCATGTGGCCTAGTCCTGCCCCCCACTCCGTTTGCACCCGCACCCGCCGACCCGGCACATCCTCAACTACGCAACAGAGTGAAGTGTATTTTGGCCGCATGTCACGCAAGCGAAGTCAATTGTGTGGGCAACATTAAAGCTGTCCGGTTTACAATTTAAATGCCAATGTTGGCGATTTGTTACTTGTCACCCGGCGACACACTATGTCTCTTTAGAGGGGAAACAGGAACAAAGGGGTTGCGGGAGAGGAGCGGCGAGGTGGGGGCACTGGAGGTCCACTACATATGGGCGGCCCTATTGGGCAGCCCATGGGCTCGCGGTTACCCCTTGGGGTTGGTCATTCTTAATCATTAACTGCGTGTCTTGTATTTCTAATGCGCTTAGTTTGGTTTAAAAACGCAAGAGACCAGCAAATTAGTCGCTCGAATGTGGGTGTAAGTGTGTGCGGTTGTGTGTGTGTGTGTGTGCGTATGGAAGAGGCGCCGTAATCCGCAATAGCTGAGATTTGCTCCTCCATAGCTTAGCTGCGGAGCGGGTATCGATATCGATGCGACCAGCGGTTAAATCGCAAAAATCCAAACCAAGCCTCAAGCTTCAAGCACCCGCCCCAAAGGTGCTTTTCCCACCCACTGCCATTTCCGCACATCGCAGAAGAACTCAACGTCAACCCTCTGAACTGGCCTTAAAGCTCCACTTAATTTTGTAAATTAGAGTGCTGCACAAAATATTTCACGGTAATTAAATGACATTCAATTTTAGCAAAAGGCAGGCGTAAAGTACATTTTCAAAGGAATCGAAGCGCAAAACGAGGACCGACTTTTAAATGCCCTAACAAATGCGGAGAAAATCGAAGAAAATTCATAACTCGATATATTTTTATAAAATATCCTTCATGATGCTATTCCACATACTTATTTAAAAGCGAATGTTTCATGTTTGAAAAGGAAAATATGAATTGGCAAT